CGCCCCAAGGCTTGGCCGCTCCAGGGCTTTTCGCAGAGTGCCGAGCTCAGCCTCCCGCCCCACACACGGGTGCGGGTGGCGGTGGCGGGGTGGGGAGCGGGAGAGGAAGGGTGGGGCTGGATTCCTGGGTCTCTGTCCCTGTGTGCCCCTCATCAGCTGGGCGCACCGACGTGAGCCCTCGGAAAAGCACTGGGGAGCTTCTTAAGTATTCGGATTCCCAGGCCCACCTTCGGGGAGAGGTGGATTCAGCAGTTCTGGGAGAGGGGTTCGGGAATCTGCTTTTTAAACAAGTGCCCCAAAGTGATCCTGATACTGAATTCGTGGATCCTGCTTTGAGAACTCTGCTTTGAGAACTCTGGAGAGTTAATTTTGGGAGGTGGCTTGGAGGAAGGAGCCCAGCGAAACGCACTCGGTGTTCCTAACATCTTATATTGGCATTATTCATTCAGCCTCCTGCTGAAGCTTAGGTGGGTCTGAGACTCAGGTATTGCCTTTCAACTACTCTCTCTGCCACTCATGGCTTTTTTTTTTTTTTTTTTTAAACAAACAACAACGACAACCACCACCTCTTTCCAGGCAAGCCGGAGGAGGAAAGAGACAATGATCTTGACAAAAGAGTCAAGAAGTTCTCAAGGGGCCAGGATCCAGGATCTTTGAGTTGGGCCTCCTTTCAGGTCTTGAGGGATTGGGGTGACTGTGTCTGTGGGTGGAGATCAGGATGTACCTGTGGGCCCGGCTCATTGTTATGACTGAGGAGGTCCAGATGTCTGTCTTGGAATAACTCCCACAGCGTTGGGCAGACTGGTTCAGCCCCCGCGGGTCTCTGGGCAGAGTGTGAACCCCCGCAGGCCTGGCTTCGTTCCATGGCTTTCCTCCCTTTCTTCCGGCAGGACAGGCAGTGAGTTGTAGTAGACACCTTTCAACGTCTGGGACTGAGGGGACTTGGCTTCCAGGCTTAGCTCTACAACTGCCGTTTCACCTTAGGCAAGTCAACTCTGCTTTTTGGGTTCCAGTTTCTTTACTTAAAACCATAATCTAGCCAGGTTTGGTGGCTCACTCCTTTAATCCTAGCCTTTTGGGAGGCTGAGGCGAGAGGAGTTCTTGATCCCAGGAGTTTGAGACCAGCCTAGGCAACATAGTGAGACCTCGTCTCTAAAAAAAGAAAAAAAAATTAGTAGGGCATGGTGGCCCATGCCTGTAGTCCCAGCAACTCGGATGCTGAGGTGGAAGGATTGCCTGAACCCAGAAGGTTGAGGGCTGTGGTGATTGTGCCACTGTCCTCCTGGGTGACAGAGTAAAACTGAGACTTAACAACAACAACAAAACTCCATAATAAAAATAGATTACACCCTTGCTAACACACTTTTGGTTGTCTACAATACTAAAGCCTTCACTTGGCCTTCAAGGCCCATTGTGTCCTCTGCAGGATTATTTCAACCTCTTTCAGCAAAGCCCTTGCTCGGCCCATGCCCCCCACTTTTTCAGGCACATTCTGTTCCTTCCGCCTCCCTGATCTCTGTGCTTTCCCTTATCCATCTTTCATATGCAACTGAGGTTCCTTGTGCCAGATACTCTTTTAAGCTCTGTGCGTATCTCAGTGGTTCTCAAACTTTAGTGGTGTGTTGGAATCACTTGGAGGGCTTTTTAGGCTACTGCTTGCTGTGATCCATCCTCCAGGCCTTTTTTCTTCCTGGAGCACAGTGGTATGGATCACAGCTCACTTCAGCCTTGAAATCCTGGGCTCAAGAGATCTTCCTGCCTTGGTCTCCCAAAGCATGAGCCATCATGCCTGGCCCTTCCAGGGCTTTTGATTCGATAGGTTTGGGGAGCCAGAGAATTTGCATTTCTTTTTTTTTTTTTTTTTTAAAGATGTGGGGTACAATTCAGGTTTAGGTATACAAATGTTCATTATGCAGGTACCCTTGTTGATGAGGTGTGCCCCCTCCTTCCCCAGGCAGATTCCCACTACTGCCAATTTTGCTTATCCGCTCCCCTCCCGGCAGTTTCCTGCTACTGCCAATCCTTTTCTTATAGTATTACGATGATTGTTTAAGGTCCGCTTATGAGTGAGAACATGTGATACTCAGTTCTTTGTTTCTGTAAAGAGGACGGGATAAAAAAATGTGGTACATATACATGATGGAATATTACGCATTCATAAAGAAGAACAAAATCATGAACTTCACAGCAACCTGGAGAATTTGCATTTCTGACAAGTCCCAGATGTGGCTGCTGTTGCTTGTCTGGGAATGGCACTTTGAGAGCCACTGTGTCAGTCCATCAAATCCTCTAAATGAGCTAGGTATCTACCACTCTCTGTGAGGAAGGTACCGTTATTCTTCCCATTTTTAGTGTAGGCCTAAATCCATGCTTGTTGGAACGGTGGGTTCTGGTCCCATCTCCTCGCAAGAGAGAGGGCAATCCCTACGTATTGGCCTTGAAAGTGATGTTTGTCATCATTTCTCAGACAACAGCCTGGGGCTCAGAAAGTTTGACTTGTTCAAAGTCCCACAGTCATTAGGGGGAGATGCTGGCATTGAACTAGGTCTCTCTCAAGTCAAGACTTTTCCCACTCTTAACAAGAGAAGATGCCTAGTTTCTGAGCCCAGACGTTGCCTCAGAAAATTCTGCCCTGGCTTCAGAGCTCAAGAGGCTGCAGGGGGTGTGGCTGGCCAGTTCCCACACAGCTGGCTAGGTCCCAGCAGCCAGGGGACCACAGGGCCTCACACTCCCACTGAGGCCTTCTGCCCACGGCGCTGCCTTCACCTATAGCTTCATAAAGGCTGGATGGAGGTAGCACGGCTGGCACCGGCTCCTCTCCTCCTGTGTTCTCCCTGCAGTCTCCTGGGAGCTCCATGACCATGACACAGCTGCTTCTGCTTGTGGCCCTCCTGGTCCTGGGACACGTGCCATCAGGTAACATTGGCTGTGTGAGTGCGTGTGTGTAAACATGAGGACTAGGCTCTTAGGTCCTGAGGACAGAGGGCCCTAGACCCGCATTTACGTTCTGGCCCCACCACTGACTTGCTGGGCATGTCAGCCTGCCCCTCAGTTTCCAACTCTATACGATGGCATTCTCTCACTCATTATTTGCTTGAAAAATATTTAATGTGTGTAAGGCGCTGCTGTGACTGCTGGGATCTAGCAGTGAAAGAAAATCAAGTCTTTGTTTTCATGGAGCTGACATTTAGTTGGCAGAGATAGAAAATAAACAGATAAACATATAATATGTCAAGGGGTGATAAAAGCTGAGAAGAATTAAGGCAAAGTAAGGGTTTGAGTGGCATGTGGATCTGGGGGTGATGGGAAGACAGGGACCGTTGGGGAAGGCTTCTGAGAAGTTGTTTTTCTTTTTGAAACCTTTTTATTAGGCCAGGCTTGGTGGCTCAGCCTGTAATCCCAGCACTTTGGGAGGCCGATGTGAGTGGATTGCCTGAGCTCGTGGGTTCGAAACCAGCCTGGGCAACTTGGCGAGACCTCGTCTCTACAATACATAAAAATTAAAGCCGGGCTCGGTGGCTCAGCCTGTAATCCCGTGCCTTTGGGAGGCTGAGGTGAGTGGATTGCCTGAGCCTACGGGTTCGAGACCTGCCTGGGCAGGCGAGACCTGATCTCCACAATAAATCAAAACAATCAGCCGGGCATGGTAGCACATGCCTATAATTCTAGCTACTTGGAAGG